TGTGGCCTCCATGTACCCACCACTCATCTTCTCCATGACTACCCCCGACACGCACATTAGGGTCAGCTCTGTGCTTGTGTCTCATCTACGAGGGCAAAGCATGTGATCCCCATCCAGGGTTCACTGCCTACTGACTGGGACTGGAGTTGATGATGTTTCCAGACCTGCAAGCCAGGGCGCACCTCAGCTACCTACTGCCTGCTAAGTGGCAACACCTCCTAAGGCTTTCCCCATCCTATGCCTCAGGCCAAGCTTTTTCAAAATAATTTTTCTGCCTCAGTTCCCTTCTCTACTGGTCTAATTCTCACCCAGCCTCCTTTGATGGGAACCTGATTTGCTTGGCTTTTTCTAGTCATCCACCCTCTTTCTGGAGAACCACTTCTGTTTCCTAAATCTGTTGTGAATAACAATTTCCCCAAAGTGCTAAAGCTTCTGACTCCCTCGCTTCAAAATCTGGGTAACAGTTCACTTCTGTGAATGACTCCGGCCTGCCAGGACCTGTCTTGGGAAGTCTGCTCCCCGTATTCCTGCTGGAGTGAGCAGTAGATCACATTTCCATGACCTGAGGCAAACTGGACCAGGGGCGGACACCTAACCCAACCTGGGCAACCAGATGCTTTCTCCTGAGAATATGTGGGCCTCAAAGACTCCTGGTAGGCTCTGCTGGCACCTTGAAAGGGCCTAGTAGTGTAATTCCCTGTTGAACTTGCCACTTGCTTTAATTCTATAGCTCTAAGTTCACACCCTTAAGGTGGCAGAGGGTGACAGATGAGGACTCTGCCTGCCAGGATTCACTGTGCCACAACTGCCCCCTAGTTACTCTGGGAATTGTAGAACCCTGAGTTCCAGGGGTCACCGGGCTCTCCGAGGTATTCTCAGCAGACCACCAGACTAGCTGGGAACCCCATTAGCCTTCCGGACATAGGTATAAAAAGCTGAGCTTGGAGAGAGGCAGACCTATCCAACCTGGGGACTCTGAGGAGGACTTTGAAGCTTAGACTCTTGCATCTCTGCCAGTCAGGACAATGCTGCTGATCTTCATTGTGAATTCTGATTAGAGCCCCTATCTTCTCTCTCTTTTAGAAATGTAAAATCTGATTTAACCAAATTGTATCTGTGTCTGGTCTTCCTATCAAACCGGGTTTACAACTTGTTAACGACAAGGGTGTATATAGCACTACACGTGGAGGCGATGAAAACCTGGAACTATTTCTATGATTCTCTCTGGGGATCATGACGTAGGTCAGCTCCACATCCAGGAGGGTGGGCCAGGTGCCGGGATGTGGCCAGGCCAACACCATCTTCTCTTGGATACACAGTAGAGGGGGTTGTGGTGGGAGTCCTGAGAGCCTGAGAGTTCTGTCATCTCCTGAGGCCCCACAGAAAGGACACTTCCGTCCCCAGGTCCCAGGCGGCCTGCTCTGGGGGAGTCTGCACAGCTTCCTAAGCCTCCGACATCACGCACAGTAAAGGAATCGGGACTGGCTGACCTCTGAGTGTGCAGTGAAGCTGTCCAGAATCCCTGAGAGAGAAATGTGGTTTTGAATTCATTGGCTTTGAAGACTCCATCTGCCACCTGCCCTGGCAAAGTCAGGGTGTGCTGGATGCCACCCTGAGCAGGCTGCCAGATCTCTGCAGGAATCAGGGTTCAGTCCTAACCTGGTCCCTCAGCCCCTGGCAGTGAAGAGCTTCTGCCAGGAGAGCTTCCCTTTACACTACATCCTAACCCTAACTATCCCATATCATATTCCCTCCTTTCCCTTTTTCTCTTTCATTCAAAAACACATGCTTATGTACACATAAACATATATGCACATGAGACCTGGGACTTAATTACTGTTTTTGTTTGAAAGCAGAAATTTAAAGAAAGAGGGTATAACAGCAACTTATCTTTAAGGCCGAGGAAGGAAGAAGGAACAGAACTTACCTATGTGCATCTGCGTTCAGCAAAGTTGCCAACGACCCCTTTCCCCGTCAGCTGAATTAACAGCTCATGGGGGTGCAGGGGAGATTTCCTCCCTTCCTGTGATCCTCTATGACAGACATTATGGATGACATTTCTTTGTATGACAGTCATATAAGGACACACAGAAGTCACTCCGAGCATGGTACACACACATTAGCGACTATAACCAAGGGCTTTACTGAGCTGAGCATGTATTATGTGTCGGCCATTGTGTTTCACATATATTAGATGGGTTAATCCTCATTACCACCCTGTGTGATAGGCGCTGTGATGGTCCCTTGACAGAGGAGAAAACTCAGACTCAGGAAGGGAAAACTTGGGAGTGGCAGCAGGGAGGGACTTGAATCTAGGGCCATCCAACTTCACAGTGAGGCATGCTCCCAGCCGCCCTGCCTGAAGCTTCCTCCGTCCTCACGGCTGTCAGCGAAGCGCAGTGACCGCTCTGATATTGCTTTTCATCTCCTCTGGCACCAACGTCCCAATTCTGCTAGTTGCATGCTTATTTTTAAAAGTATCACTTCCTCTCTCAGGATGGATCAGGAGTCCTGGGCAGGTACTTCAAAGAGACGGGAGGCCGCAGGGCAGGGACAGCCTCCCTGGGTTTGCCCGTCACGGAAGGGCACAGGCATTTCATTTCCTCAGTTCTGCTGCAACAGTTGAGAAACAACCACTGCATTGGCTGAAGTTATTCTAACTGCTGGAACAATCAACTCCCAAGATTCAGTGGGTTAACCCTAAAACCATTCATTTCTCACTTACATAACTGTCAAACACAGATTTGCAAAAAGCTAAGTGCCTAGGGTTAAGGAGTACCTCCCAGTGACCAAAGTCATACAGTGCCTTTTCCTTGGCAAACAAGGAAGCCTCCAAGGTCCACTGTCTGCATGTCTCATTGTGTCCCATGCAGGCGCTGCTGCTTAGGGCCCCTGGTGCACATGCCACATCAGGTTACGCCCTGGCAAGGTCATTGAGAGGGAAACGCTCGTTCACTGAATCAGGGCTCACATCTCAGCCCCATGCTACACCCCTAGTCCTTACCCTTTCCCATCTCCTGTGTCTCGAGAAGCAGAGAGCTTTGACACTCTTTGACACTCCAAATTACAAATAAGAATTAAAGTCAGCAGTGACTTATAAGGGTGCCAAAGTCTATCTCAATTGCCCCAAAGGCCACGGCTACAGGAGCCATGCAAACAGGAGCAGGCCGTTTACTGAGCCCACAGCTGGACTCCTTGGGGACTTGCACCAGGAGCTGGAGGTGAGGTGCCTATCGGTCAGCATCGGTCCTCCAGCTACATCTCGGGTGCTTCATAGAACCTGTGAGTCTCCCTCAGGGCTTAAGTTTGAGTCCGGGAAAGTGTCTTGGTTTCCATGGCCCTGGGGCAGAGGTGTCCTCATGGGCCTGCACACTGGGGGCTGAGTCCCCTGAGCTTAACCCGTAACCCTGAAGCTTAACCCGTAACCCTGTCCTGCTCTTCTCCTTCTGGGTGCCATCTCCAACAAAGGAAGACTGCCCCTTTGTACCTGGGCCACAGACAGGGCCTCTCTGTCTCTCTGCACTGCCTGCATGTTCACTCAACCAGGCTGACCTGACTGTCCGCCCACACTGAGTGAGGCTCTGGCAGTGGCCTCACAGGATGGCTTGGCGGGAGGCAGGCTGTCTGCGCTGGGAGAGTAAGAAAAATTCTCTGCCTGAAACCCATGCTTCCTGGGGTTTCCGTTCCCAGGGCCTCTGTTCTCTTCACTTACCAGGAGCAGGAGGAACAACTGCTTCGTGGACAATCTCATCTAAGCATGACAAACACTTTCCTGCTTTGTCCCTCTGCAGTACCGGATGTGGATGACAAGGACTATGAACGTGCACCTCAATGAGTAGTTTACATGCCATACTCTGCCTCTCTCATGGTGTATAAGCTCTTCAGTGGAGGGAAGGGATGGCGTTTGATTCTGAGAAATGTTACCACGTGAATGCAATGTATTTTTGACAGAATGGGTTAGTAAATCCATGGAAGGGTGAATTGATGAGCAAAGATGAATGGGAGGAAATAAATGAGAAGTAAATCATAGGGAGTGAGAGAATGAATGAGGGTATGAGAGGCAGAATGATTGCCCATTGCCTCTAGGTATCCATTGTCCACTTCTTCCTTGCAAACAAAACCCTAGTTTTTAATCGGAGCACATTTCCACCTAACCAAAACAAAAAAAAAAAACCAAACAAAAAACCCCAAAAAACACAAAAACATTTCCCATACATCCATGTGACTGCATTCTGTGACTGAGTTAATTGTAAGTGCCAGGGTTGCATGAGACATCAAGAAAAACCCTTGGAAAAGGAATGTGTGTGATTTTGGTCACCTTTCTATGGCATAGAAGACACATGATGGCTAGAGCTTAGCAGCCATAATGTACAATGAGGAGACCTCAAAAAAAAAAAAAAAAAAGTCAGCCACACTAGGTGAGTGACATAGAAGTCTAGGTCTCTGTTTCTCACGGAACCACTACAACAATCTAGACTGCCTTCCTCTGGACCTTTATTCTGTAAGACAGGAATAAATTTTCATTTCATTTGCTGTTTTGTGGTTTGTTGTTTCTTAGATTTTTATTATATGTAGTTGAATCTGACACTGACCAACCTGTCCAGCATCACAGGTTCATGCTAGAGTCAGTCCTAGGTCTCCTCTCTCCCAGTCTCAAGTTCTTTCTGACACCAGGTTTAAGACACTATATTTGATGGTCTGAAAATGTCACAGTCAGCCAGAACCTGCAGACACCTTTCAAATGTCAGCCCAAAGCCATAACACAGAATCAGAGAATCCTGACCTTGTTTTAAAAGAAGGGACAGACAATCAAAGTGATGGGCGACCTCTGATCTCTGTTCAAAACCCACCAGGTGGGCAGAGACCACTGACCCAGCCTCAGATTGAACACAATTCCTAACAGCCCAGGAAATGTACAGTCACATTTTTGGGTCTCCTCTACTTCAACAGTCAAGCATTCATTCTTCCATAAAGCGGAGCATGGGGGGGTCAGGTCTTACCTCCACCAGGGAATGCCAGTGCGCAATGGGCTTCCGAGGATACGACAACATTTCACTCCAGTGGTCTCTGCCCAGCCTCTCAGCTTTGTTGCCTACTTGACACACGCCGATGATCTCATTGTGACCTATACTGTGAAAATGGCCCACAATAGTTTTTTCTTAAAATTTTGGTATAAAAGAACAATAACTACTCAATTAAGCCCATAAAGGAATTAGGGGAAGGGTGGTTCTTTTTATTCCCTAATTTAAATCTAGATGCCAAGTTTAAGGGAATAGGAATTGGGATCCAGTACTGCACTCAGTGGCAGAGAAAGGAAAAGCAGCATCTGGCCCTCACACACCTAAGCTTTTGAAACAAGAATTACATGGCATGCCTGAGCCTGTTCCCAAGAACCCTATGCTTGAAGAGCTCCCTGGTACATGCCAAGGATGCAGCCTCTGGCTGCTTTTGGAACTAGATGGACTCCAGGCCTCCAAATCCATATAATGAAAGGGAGCCACCTGAAAGCAGATTCTTGCAACAACATTTGCTCAAATTCCTGCAAGAAGCAACCAGATACTGAGAGGGAGCAGCTCTGGCAGCCATAGTCTTGAACTCATAAAGGGGCAGAGTTGAGGAGGCTCACGAGTCTTGCTTCCCCTCTATTTATCAAACGTGTTTTCTCTTGCTCTTTCCTCCTTCCTCCCAAACCAAGCTTTGCTTCTTTGACCCAATTTAACTTCCCTACTGTAAAAAAGACCCTCAGCTCCTTTAACTTTAGGGCTAATGGTTCCGAAACCTTCCCTGGGTAGGTCCCTGCCTTGGCCCATTATTTTTTCCTTAGGAGATTTTGGTGAGAAATGCTCTGCATAACTGGAATAACATGGCCCATCCTTTAACTCTTAGGGATCCAAACACGTAGACTTTCTCTCCCTTTTTCTTCCTACTTGTGTAGGGTGTGAAGGGGAGACAAGGCGGGGAAGCGGTGTGCAGGGTATTCCGGTCTTTGCTCCCTAAAATCTGCCGCATGCAGAAGCTCCATGAATTCTGCTATGGGTTTTCCAGGCCAGATTCATGAGTTTACTGAGAATTACACTGAAGCATAGCTCCCATAATCAGGTTTGTCGATGTGGGAAACTTGGCAATAGCATGAAAAATGCTGGTTTAGCTCTCCATGGTTGGCGGGCGATGTCCCCTCCTGTGGGCATCCAGCAGAGACAGGCAGAGGCCTACTGCCCAGCATGGCCTGTCACACCCGTGGGCAGCTCAGCCACCCATGTGCCCCTGGGGTTGGCAGCTGGTTAGGCTCCGCCCAGGCATCCACCTGAGAGAGTGTTGTTCAGCACATGGGTGCCGCTTTACTGACATTTCAGGGGTACGTGGGAAAGTTTTTAGCTACAAATAATATTTGGAAGATTATATTAGAAGTCAGAATGATTTTTTCAAAATTGTGCCGAGACCACGTGAGAGGTTTCCAATTAAAAAGAGACTTTTCATTTCAGTCTAATGACTGGTTTAACATACATAATTCCCTGTTGGTACTTCCTTTGCATATTAAAGTGACTGTTTTTCAAATCTGTTCCTTAAATACACAATTGGCTACCATGTAGGCTATAAATATCTTTTCTGTGCTGTATTAATTAGAAAGTCGAGCATCTTATACATTTTAATGTACCCTGTCATCCATACTGATTCTAGCATTTTCAAGAGAACATTTCTGTGTTTGCTTTCAGACTTAAGTGGATGGAAATGATCTTTATTAAACACACTGGGATAAGGGAAAAAAATAACGTAGTTTTGTATTTAGAAATGTTTGTGGTCTGGCCAAAGTACTTGCCCTGCTGTTTTGAGTGGACCGTTTCCATGAGGGCCAGGATGGCCCAAGAGAAGATATAGACCTGTGGGGCCATAGTTCTCCAAGCTGAGGGTCTAGTGGGTGTGCAGGGGTGGAGAGGGGAAGAGGTGGGGGTTGGGAAAGATGGAGAAGGGAAAAGAAAAGATTAAAAAGGCAGAGGAAAGAATGGGAGAGCTAAGAGCCAGTTTCATAATCCGACTCTACAGCAGGGCTTGGACTCCTTACCCATCAGCTTTCCACGTGCTACTCATTCGAGTCATTTCCTGCTGCTGGAACACCAGCTAAGAATCTGTGACTGCACCTCCCCGCCCCCTCCCTGCCTTCCTGCTATGGACACAGAGGATTTGCACTGAGAAAGAGCTTCAGGTATCTCACCGGTCGTAGTCCATGACCGCTATGGACAAGTGGATTTGGTCAATGTTGTCGGGAGGGACGTCAAAGACTATGGCTTCGTTGTAAACAGGATTCAGAGTGTTCCTCTTGGTGGACGTTTTCCTCTTCTTCAGCCGTCTGCCATCACACATCAGTGAGACTTTCACGTAGGGATCTGTAGAGACCGGGGGAAGCAGGGGTACTGTGAGGATAAATGCAGATTTAGGCCAGCAGTTTCATCGTGGTGGAAGTTCGTGGGCTGCATGCAGAACTCCTGTACCTGCCTGTCGACTTGGAGTTTGAGGATTTTAATTAATATGATGCTTGGGCAGTGACTAGAGTTAGGATAATCAAATCTTTCATTCACGAAAAAGCACAGGACGCTGCCTCCTCGAAATGCGTGGAATTTAAAAATAGTGTGAAAAAACACCCGTTACTAAATTAGAAACCGTTCCAGCTAGAATCCAGACCCGCCTGGCAGTGACAGGAAGAGAAATGCAAAGGCGCGTCCACGGCGTGGAGAAGCGGGCTGCAGGCCTGGACTCTGAGCCGCTGCGGACAATCTTCCCCTAAACATCAGGTCTTTAGCAAAGGGAGAATTTCAGGCGTAGATTTCCTAGCTGCGGGGGCCTGGAGCCCCCAGAGCTTCCTGCAGTCAGGCTGCAAAGAGGGAAGCAGTTCAGCACGTCAGGAAGACAAAGGACTCAGGCTTGCCTGTGCTGCTACGCGGGGAGGGGGTGGCAGGTGATAAGGCTGGTTTCTGCTTCAGGCGGGACCTTCCTGGTCCCACCTCACTATCCTACTGCTCAGTGGGGAGTTCTTCTCTCTTCACCTGCATATCAGGGTGTTGCCCTGACTCCCATATACTGTCCAGGAGGGACTTAGCCAGAAGGGGCCATATCTTTTTTCCGCTTGGAAAAACACTGGAGTACTGGAAGCAGAATGCATTGCATCTGATGTCCTTTGACTTCAGCGACCAACAGTCTGTGGACTGGGTATTTTATGACCATATTTCAGGAGCCCCTGCAGCTCCTGAATTTCTACTATTAGGAACTGCATAGTGGGGCTTTTTTTAGGGTTTAGGATTTAAGGTCTATGTTTGATTCACTGGAAAAACCAAGCTGCACAGTTCACTAATGAGCCTTTTATAAGGGTATAGGATTCTTCAATCTTCAGTAAACCTGAGACAGTAATTGCTTGTATCTGAGGAAAGACTCAATTAGATAAGCTATATCATAGGTAAATTGCAGACCCTGTTCAGAATTACTGTGAAGAAGACTTAAGAGAGAATACTAATAATGATGATAGCTAATAATAAACAGCATTTAGTATGCACCAGGCATGTTCTTATGGTCTGTTATGTATTAACTCATTTAATCTTTTAACAACCCCATGGAGCCAGTTACTACTATTACTCTCATTTTACAGATGGGGAATCGGAAGCCTAGAGAGGTTTAGTGACTTGCCCAAGGTCACACAGCTATTAGGTCTAAGAGAGGGATTAAACCTAGGTAGTTTGGTTCCAGAGTCCATGTGTTTATTACTGTACTAGAAACTTCACAGGGCACAACAACGGAGCTGTATGAGAAAGTCTGAATTAGGGAATGTCCCACCTGATGCTCCTGTTATGTCCATTGCCTTTAAATTCCTGGCTTTTATAACAGTGATGGTCAGCCTGCCAGCTGTTGGCAGATAGCAGAGGGAAAACATCAGCTCTCCGAGATCCACGTTGTCCTGTTGAGAGAGCACAAACCGAAGCGTGAGGAAGCGTCCCGCAGCCTGGTGGGTGAAAGGCCCTGCTTCCTCTGCTCGTCTCACGAATTCCCAAGGCGTGTCACCTTCACGCCTGCACTTCGGGAGCCCCTCACCCCACGGGAGCCCAGCCCATCTTTGGGTGGCTAAACTGTGGAGGCCACCCAGGGCCTCTACCACCCTCTATCCAGCCACATGCAGCCCTGCTCAGCCTCACAAAAGACCGTGTGGACCAGCAAGTACCCCCAGAAGAGTAGCCCCCACCGCCTTAACTACTCCCTGTGGATCCCACATGTGGGTCCATTCATATCCCTGTCACAACCCCACCGAGCCCCCAGGACAGAGCTACACAGAGAGGCGCTGCAGTGCTGAGCGGCCCCCACCACAGTCCTGCTCACACGCGCGCTCTGTGCACAGTCCGCCCAGGGGCCGTGCGGGGACCCCTGCAGCCTCGCGCAGCCCCTCACACCGGTCCCCACACAGCCCCGGGGGCACTGGCCCACTCCTGTTTCCTACATGGCTGTCCCCAAGTTTTTCCCACAGGCCTCACATAGGCCCACAACGTCCTCCAAATAGTCACCGTCCATATGTACCCTTGCCCCACACACCCTGCTCCACAGTCCACCCCAGGTTTGCCACAATACCTTCCTGAACTCCTGCAAAAGCCCCCACACCCCAAAACACACACACACACACACACACACACACACACACACACACACACACACACACAACTCCTCCACCCATCAGAGGCCTGCACACAACCTGGTCACGCACAACGTGTGCAGACCAGCACATGGCTCCACTGGACCCTGGAAACATCTATTCCCTACATGGCCCTGGACACACCCGGCCTCAGACAGAGCGCTGCGCGGCCTCCATGCAGGGAGAGGTGGCTGGGACCCAGGCCCCACAGGCCCCTACGGCCGGCCCTGGGGACTTCCACTTAGCTGCGGTCCTGGCCATCTCTCGGTGTGTCTCTCAGGAGCGCCCATTTCCTTCTGTTGGGGAAGACACCTCCTCAGGCAGTGCACAGCCATTCAGATAAGTCAGAAGACATGCTGACATGCTTCTCTTTCTCATTTTTACCCAGGGAGAGTGTAACCAGAAAGGAAAATAAAGAAGCCAGTTCATTCAGTTTCAATTTCTGTGATACCTAAGATTACTGAGCTGGGTGCATGTGTCTAATTAACACAGTTTCATACCGACAATGCTCTGGGGAGGACGGTTTTTGCCCTCAACATCCACAGCCTCCCCTCCCCTTCTCAATTCTCCATGGATGCTTCTATTTTTAGAAGCATAGAATCAGCTCTGGAAGGTCACCTCACCCAGCCTCGCAGCCTTGACTGCTTCTGCTGGAGGATGAGGTGCAGGGAATCTGTTTGGTCGCTAAGGCAGATGGATTGCTCCCTATCTTCAGGCATCGCTGGCCTCGTGTAAATAAAGGACCTCACCAGGCTCTCCTGGTCCCTGGAACCCGGACGTCCAGAGACCCAGGTGGCTGGGCCTGTCCCTCTGGGGTCGAGTGAGGAGGAGAGATGAGAATCCCACAGGAGTGGGGTGTCCCACAGGCAGGTGCTGGGCTGTTTTAGCGCAACTGGGTCCCACACTGCAGGAGGAGCGTCCGTCTCACTGAAGAGGGAGGACCTGACCCAGCTTCCTGCTGGTGGCACAGGAGAAAGAGAAGCAACAGCTGTCCCCACAAATTATCTCCTTCCTTCCTGATTCCCTGGCCTATTCCTTTGCTCTCTACCTGCCTTAAGTAGAAAGGCCCAGACACCTGCTCTCCCCGCAGAGGGCCTCACTGCATCTCACTCACGCCTCTCTTCTCATCCTGCCCAGAAAATCTAGGCTGCACAAAGTAAAACAGCAATGGCCAAGATCATGCCTGTGTAGCTTCGTCGCCTTCCATCTTTTCATCACCATACAGTTCCTGAGGGCCTACATCGCACATGCCTGTAGGGTCACAATGTGGCATCTCAAGGCCAACGCGTAGAGCTGAACGGGGTATATCAGGTTACTTTTGTGCTGAGCACATTTTTTCCCAACATAAACCCCATTCACAGATATTTATGTTATATGACAGTTTGCTCATGAGTTAAAAGCAAAAAAAAAAAATCAGAGCTTCAGACTTGGTGATACTTCAGAATGTGAACTAAGGCTACTGTCCACACTGGGACTTACAAAAAAAAATTGGCAAATTAAAGAAATAATTATCAAAGAGAAAATGCTTGCTTTGATTTCCAAGTGCTTTAAAAATAAATCATTTAAAAATTTCTATGTTGTGTGAGTAAAAATGGTAAAATTCAAATGCAGAAGTTTTTAAGTAAAAAAGTAAAATATTTCCTTTTCTTACGTATATACCACCTGTGTTATCCCTTTCTGCAGAGTACCACTGTGGACAATCATCCATATTTTTCTTTTCATCCATCCGTCCATCCACTCACTTACGGTTTTAACATTTGCAGTGGTTGCAGTTGTTGAGCCTCCTTTTTTGCCAGGTGCCGGGAGTGGAGAAAAACAGACATGGTCTGTTGATGAAAGATGGACTTGCTGAGATAGTGAAGGGGAGCTGACGGCACCTAATGCTAACTCTGCTTTCTCCCCACCAGCTGATGCTAATTTGAGGTCGAGAAGCTTTAGATCCTGATGTTTGTAAACATTCTCTTACACCAGGGGTTCTTAACCGGGAGCAACTTTGCTTCCCCAGGGGATGCTTGGTACTACCTGGAGAAATATCTGATTGTCAAAACTGGGGACGTGGGTGCCTTACTGACATCTAGTGGGTAGAGTCCAGGGATGCTGCTAAACATCCTATAATATAAAGGGCAGCCCTCCACTACAGAGAATAATCTGGTTCAAAATGTCGATTGTCCCAAGGTTGAGGAATTCTGTGTCATACATACAGAATTGCTTATATTATTAGTAAAAATAAATTCCAGAATGCTAATAAAAGTTAAGCATAAGAGCATAGTGAAGTATTTGATTTATTTGCAGTTTGACAGGAACTAAATAGCAGATGTGTCACCGGTGGCTGAGTGCCCTGGGGGATACAAGGGGAAGGAAAATGTCATACAGAGAAATGCTTCATGTTCTTGCTTTGTGTGGCCAAGTTCAGTATCGTTGGCAAGATATATGGGGAATTTATAGCAACTGTGTATGAGCTGTCTACCTGCCAATCTAAATTCTTTCTGTGATATGTTTGCCTGTAAGAGTCTATGATAGCTCTAGTTTTTGTCTAACCTGTACACTTCTGCATTCTTCTTGCTGGATCCTTCTGGTGAGCTCTTTCTCAGTTCTATAGAGTTCTAGGAGGGCGGCCACAGGAATTCAGGTTACCCAAATATTCATGTCACAATCTACTGTGGTCTGTTCAGGATGAGTTATGTAGCCCAAGCAGGGCCACTTAGAGTCCTTTCGGAGACTGGAAAATCATTACTGAGGAATTTGCATTCTATTGGGGTATTCACTGGGAAAATATGAAACCAGAACTGTTGTAAGGTTCTTGTATTATATATAGTGAAAGTGGTATAATATAACTTTAAGTTAAGTTGTGCATGTTAGAGACGGATACTTTAACCCAAAAGTAATGACTAAAATAATACAAGGGTTTAATAGCTAATAAGCTAAAAAAGGAGATAAAATGAATGTTTTAAAATATTAAAGTAATCCAAAAGAAGGAAGAAAAAAAGGGGAAGGAATAAGATCAGAAGAGATAATTCTGAAAGAAATAAAAAATAGAAGAACAAACTGACAGTGGCCAGAGGGGCGGGGGGAGGGGAATAATGGGGGAAAGAAGGGGAAGGGTCAAGTCAAGGAACATGTATGAAGGACCCCTGGACAAGGACAGTGGGGAGGAGGGCTGACAGTGGAAGGTGGGGGGTAGGGCTGGGGAGAGTAATGGTGGGAAAATGGGTACAACTGTAATTGAACAATAAAAAAATTTTTTTAAAAAAGTATTACCAAATATATATTAAGAGATAGTAAGATGTTAAATTTAAATAGATTTTAATAATTATATTTAAATGATATAAGCTTCCAAATAAAAGGCAAAGATTGTCTGATTCAATAAAATAGCAACATCTAATTTTATGCTCTCTACAAGAAGTTTACTTTAAATACAAAAGTAAAATAATAGGCCCTGGCCAGGTAGCTCAGGTGGTTAGCATATCGTCCCAATATACCAAGATTGTCGGTTTGATCCCTGGTCATGGTACATACAAGAATCAACCAATGAGTGCATAAATAAGTAAAACAATAAGTTGATGTTTCTCTCTCTCAAGAAAGAATCAATCAATAAAAAAAGTAAAATAATAAAAAAGATATGTTGTACTAACACTAAAGAAAGAAATCTGGAATAGCTAAATTAATATCCAATAAAGTATGTGTCAGAGTAATGAATATTATCAAGGACAAAAAGGGTTATTTCATTATGATAAAGGGGTCAATTCATCAAAAGCATGTAATTCTAAATATTTATGCGCCACACCTTCAAAATACATGTTTATTCTTGTGAGAATATACAAGTTATAGTCACAAATTTGAATACTGGAACAACACTACCAACTAACTGGGCCTAACTGGTAACAAACAAACAAAAAGCTACTCTACCAATCAGCAATAGAATACACATTTTTATCAAGTGCACCCAGAACACTAAACAAGATAGACCATATAGTGGGCCATTAAACAAGTTTCAATTAAATTTGAGAAGGTTCAAAGTATATTTTCTAGCTACAATAAAAATGAATTAGAAATCAAATTATTTAGAGATAACAAAGAATTATCTGGAAAATCTCCAAATACTTGAGAACTAAATAACACACTTCTAAATAACCCATGGATCAAAGGAGTAATTAGAAAGTATTTTGACCTGAAGTGAAATGAAAACACAACATATTAAAATTTGTGGAATGTAGCCCTAAGAGGAAATTTATAGCACTAATATGTCTATATTACACAAGAAAAAAACACTCAAGTCA